TTGCGCAGATCGCTGCGTTTGATCAGCGGATGGAGATGTTGGGCGACAGTCCAGCAGGTTTCCGCTCCTCTACCAACACCATCTACAGAGGGCGCGGACAGTCCCGCGGCAGGGGAGGCCGTGGCTGAAGCAACAGAGGGGGACGCGGTCGAGGAAACCGCTCCTCTCCTTCCCCGAGTCACGGGGGTGGCGGCGGTGGTCACCAGCACCGTTTTCGCCCTCAACCACAACAACAGCAGCAGCAAGAGGGCGACTACCCCGAGTGCCAAATCTGCTACAAGTTCCATGCTGGCGGGGCAAGAGCCTGCTGGCATCGGTACGATGATGATCATGAAGAAAAGAAGGCAGCCAACCTCATCACCGACAACTACGGCATCGACACCAACTGGTATGCCGATTCTGGTGCCACCGAGCATATCACAGGCGAGCTCGACAAGTTGACGATGCGGGAAAGGTACCACGGCGGTGATCAGATACACACGGCAAGTGGAACTGGTATGGACATTACTCATGTTGGAAATTCAATTGTTAAAAACCCCGTAAAAGATCTACTTCTTAACAATGTCTTACATGTTCCACATGCCTCAAAAAATCTTGTTTTTGTTCATCTCTTTGCTCTTGACAACAATGTTCTCATAATATTTTATCCTCACTCTTTTGTGATCAAAGACTTGGCAACGAGGAGAGTCATCTTTAGAGGAAAATGTGAGGGAGGCCTATATCCACTCATATCATCTTCATCTTCATCATGGTCAAATAAACAAGCGTGGAGTGTCAGCAAACCTTCTTCGGCCAGGTGGCATAGTCGTCTGGGTCATCCCTTCTCAGTTATAGTTCAGCATGTTCTTAGCAAGAATAAACTACCTTATGAGTCTAGCGTTGAGTCAATTGCTTGCCAGCAAGCTAAAAGTCATCAGTTACCTTATCCTATATCAACAAGTGTTTCCACTGCTCCATTGCAGCTTATTTTTTCAGATGTATGGGGACCAGCCCCCACATCAGTTGGTAGATTCTCTTATTATGTGAGTTTCATTGATGATTATAGCAAGTTCACCTGGACCTATCTGCTAAAGAAAAGATCCGATGTTTTTCAAGTTTTTACCAACTTCCAAAATCTTGTTGAACGCCAACTATACTCAAAAATTCTTGCTATGCAAACCGACTGGGGTGGTGAGTATGAGAAGCTAAATTCCTTCTTTCAAAAAATTGGAATCTCCCACCACGTCTCTTGCCCCCATGCTCATCAGCAAAACAGGTCGGCTGAACGTAAACATCGTCATGTTGTTGAGGTAGGATTAGCACTCCTAGCCAATGCTTCCATGCCCCTAAAATTCTGGGATGAAGCTTTTCTCACTGCCACATATCTTATAAATATTCGACCCAGCAAAGTCATCAAGTATGAAAGTCCAATCACACGCTTGTTTGGAACAAAACCAGATTTTAAGTCTCTACGAGTCTTTGGTTGTGCATGCTGGCCAAACCTAAGACCTTACAACACACGCAAACTTGCGTTTCGTTCAAAAAAATGTGTGTTTTTGGGCTACAGTCCTATGCACAAAGGAGTCAAGTGCTTAGATGTTCCCACAGGTCGAGTCTATATATCTCGAGACGTTGTGTTCGATGAATCAATTTTCCCTTTTGAATCCCTCCATCCCAATGCCGGCGCTCTTCTTCGTCAAGAGATTCTTCTTCTTCCACCTACACTTCGAGGTTTTGATCACGGGGGAAACAACAATTGTACAAACCAACATGATGATAATATTCCTGCTGGAACCAGTGCTTGTCTTCCGTGTGTGCAGGTACCTGAAGGAAACAGAGAAGAAAACGGACAGAATGATCAAAATCCCAGAGAAAATGAAGCTATATTTCATGTAGAAGAAGGAGACGAAGGTGGCGCGGCGTTCGAGGATGATTTGGCGGCGCCTGCCACCCCTGCGCCTCAATCTCCCTCGGATCGCGCGCGGATATCCGCCTCGGATCGCGATCCGACCGAACAGGAGAATCAGGCGCGGGCGAGCCGCTCCGCCACCGCCACGTCATCACGCGGGGAATCTCCATCGAGCGGCCCGCGCATGATGCCAATCGCTGCGAGGCGTGGCGGGTGCATGCAGCCGACAGTTCCACCTGGCGCGACTGGCACGGGATCGTCTGCGGCTACAGACGGTGCGGTTGTGGATCCGCGCGCCACATCTGCGACCACATGATCGGATGCGGCAACTCCTGTCTGCTCTCCAGGATCTTCTGCAACAAGTGGATCCGCACGCCCGCGTGTACAGCAGCAACCAGTCACATCCAAAGTCACAACTCGACTACAAAAAGGTATTAAAAACCCAAAAATAAGGACTGATGGCACAATAAGGTATGGTATGCTGTGTATTTCAGAAGAGCCGACAAAACTAGATGATGCGCTTGGAGATCCAAAGTGGAAGAAGGCCATGGATGAGGAGTATACAGCCCTGATGAAAAATAAGACATGGCGTTTGGTACCAAATCAAAGAGGTAAAAACATCATTGATTGTAAATGGGTGTATAGAATCAAAAAGAGGGCAGATGGCTCCATTGACAGGTATAAAGCACGTCTTGTTGCTAAAGGCTTTAAACAGCGTTATGGTATTGATTATGAGGATACATTTAGTCCTGTGATAAAAGCTGCAACCATAAGACTTGTGCTAGCAATTGCTGTGTCTAGGGGATGGAGTCTGAGATAGCTAGACGTAAAGAATGCGTTTTTACATGGTGTTCTGGAAGAGGTCTACATGAGGCAACCACGAGGTTATGAAAACAGACAAAAACCACATTATGTATGCAAACTTGACAAGGCTCTCTATGGCTTGAAACAAGCACCTAGAGCGTGGTATTCCAGACTAAGTATGCAGTTGAAACATCTTGGCTTTGTTGCATCAAAAGCTGACACACCTCTCTTCATATACAATAAGGCAAATACAGTCATTTTTGTGCTCATATATGTTGATGACATTATAGTTGCAAGCTCTTCTCAGAATGCTACTAATGCTCTTTTGCATGATCTAAGCTCAGAGTTTGCCTTAAAGGATCTTGGTGATTTAAGTTTCTTTCTAGGCATTGAAGTTAAGAAGGTTCAGGATGGTATAGTGTTGAAACAGGAAAAATATGCCACTGAACTCTTGGCTCGGATGGGAATGAAGGATTGCAAGACTTCCCCCACACCATTATCCTCATCAGAACAACTGTCAGCTTATGAAGGGGAACCACTTAATGAGAAGGAAAGCACCAGGTATAGAAGTGCTGTTGGAGCCTTGCAATACTTAACCTTGACACGGCCAGATATCTCATTTTCTGTTAACAAAGTATGTCAATATCTGCATGCTCCCACTTCTGCTCATTGGACAGCTGTCAAAAGGATCATAAGGTATGTGAAGCACACTGTAGATTTGGGGCTGTGTTTTAAACGTTCCAATTCTACACTGGTTAGTGCTTTCTCTGATGCAGATTGGGCAGGCTGTAGTGATGATAGAAAATCCACAGGAGGATTTGCTGTTTTCTTTGGGTCTAACCCTATTTCATGGAGTGCCAGGAAACAAGCAACAGTGTCAAGGTCGAGTACTGAAGCTGAGTACAAGTCATTGGCAAATGCTACTGCAGAGATCATTTGGGTTGAGTCTTTGCTTGAGGAATTGGGTGTTAAGCAACATCGTGCCTCATGCCTATGGTGTGATAACTTAGGTGCTACTTATTTAAGTGCTAATCCAGTTTTTCATGCCAGAACAAAGCACATTGAAATAGACTTTCACTTTGTACGGGAAAGAGTTGCAGAGAAGAAACTGGAGATACGTTTTATTCCTTCCAAAGATCAAGTAGCTGATGGTTTCACCAAAGCCTTACCGTACAAGCCATTCGAAGCATTCAAGAACAATCTCAACCTAGGTAGGTAGTTCAGATTAAGGGAGGGTGTTAGACTTAGAGATATATTCTGTTGTAATCTAAACTACTTATCTCTTCCTCTCCCTTGTAACCTCCTATCTCTTATCCTACCGAATCCTAGCGATCGGTAGATGACTTGTAAGCGACGGCAGGGGCGTTTCCTGCCCACGATCAATAAAGCCTCGCGGCTCCTCTACGGAGGAGTAGGAACGCTTCCACCAGATACATCTTACACCTATGTGTACTATATTATTGCCTGCATGAAAGTATGGCTGCATGCAGTTTGACATCAACTTATTTGAGCTAGCACTTGAAGTTGATTTGTGTTTTTCATTAGTGCCACATCTCCCACATTTTATATTCACTGAATAAGTACACACACCGGTCTTTGTCTACATAAAACTCGAGGTCTACCATGACTAAGTATATCTGTCGCTGCATTACCGAGCCAATATACGTCATTATTTCAATTACAATTTTTTTATTAACTATTAGATAAATCATATACATCGAAGAGTCTTCTCAGGTCGAAGTTCCGGAGTTCTACCTAGCCGTCAGCCACACAAGGAACCGAGAAGCAGGTAAACCCACTAATACCTGAATTATCAAATTTATTTTATACCCGTTGCAACGCACATGCCCTTTTGCTAGTAAATAGAAAAGGGAAAAAGGAGACAGGAAAAAAAGAAAAAGAAAAGAAAAACAGAAAAGAAAGAAATCCGGTTCAGGAACCTTCTAGAAGGTTCTCGAAACCGCAAAAACCGGCTGGGAAACCGGAAACGCTGAAAAGCGCTTAAACAGGCCGGATACGACCTATCAATCGACCGCGCCTGTGCGAACCTGCGACATCTTGCCGCATAGAGCGGCGAATAGGAAATTCCGTCCCGTGTTTGCGTTGCCCCTGGCGTCGAGAAAGAAAAATAAATAAATGGGCCGAGCCCAGGTGGAAGGGGGCAATGAGTCGGTTGATGAATTGCGCCCCGTTGCTGCGCTCAATGGGCCGCGGCCTGTATTGCGGGATATATTCTTTGCGACATATATAAGCCGCCTTACCCCATAGCAACCCTAGATCTATCCCCCGCCTCCACCTAGGACCTCCCATGGCGTCCGTCGCATTAAAGCTCTCACGGTCACGGTTCGCTGGGGCAGCCGCCAACTCCTGCCGCTTCGCTCTTAGCCTACCCGGCCGCGATCTCACTGGAGATACCACCATAAACGCCCGGTCGCGACCGTTACTTAGATCCCCAAACTCCGCCGCCGCCTCCACCAGCCCCTCGGTCTTCTTCCTCCGGCGCAGCATAGCTACGCTCCCCTCCGGTCAGGACTCCAATCTGCCTGTGGGCGCCGCACCAGATGACCTCGACGACGAGCTCCGCCCTGGTAATCAATCATTCTTTCATCTCTGTATTCTTTACACATCTTGGTTGGCAGCACAAATTATGGTTTTCTTTTCTGTGACGACGCAAGACCCGGACACCGTTCCCTACTTCGACGAGAAGGACCTCGTCTCGGATGAAACCCTGTGGGCTCTGTACGAGCGGTGGTGCCGCTTCCACGGAATGGCGCGCGACCACGACGAGATGACTAGGCGATTTGGTCGTTTCAAGGATACGGCGTGGCATGTCCACGAGTTCAACAAGTCGGGTAGGAGCTACACCAAGGGGCTCACCCAGTTCTCCGATTTGGAGCCAGAGGAGTTCTTCGGCCCTCGTCGCTGTCCGAGGACTCCCAGAACTGGTAGTCGTTTCTTCACCAACGACAGAGATGAGGTCACGGCGATCTGTACTGACGGGTGTCTTGAAAAATATGAGGGCCCTGTTTGGATAATCCGTAATGTTAAGTAGCCCTAAAGAAACGGTTGTATACGCAATTCATCCGTATCTAATCAACTGACAGCCGCTTGGATGCAAAGGAAATGTGCTTGCTAGATGGTAATATGTGTTGAACCTCAAGCGGAACACACAATGCGGAATAAATTTGCCAAGAACCATAACAAATTTCAGAATTATCAATGAAGCGGAAGTGGGAGGAGATGTGGCAACAGCAACCACTAGTTCCTTCCGCACTACGAGTACCAAGGAAGGCGCCCCTTCCAACCTCTAGTACCAAGGAAGGCGCCCCTTCCAACCTCTAGGTCGCCCTTATAGCGCTAGATGTTGTCGGCCTTCTCCACTGTTTTTCATCTCACATTTAGCTGAGATCGTAAGATCAACCAAAAAAAAATTAGACATTTTTAAAAAATCATAAATTATTTCACAACATTCATGTGAAGTATGTTTACAACCCTAAAAAAAAATCAGCTCAAAACTCTATACATTTAGAGATTCAAAAAAGACAATTTTGAATGTGAATAGTAGCAGCTTTGGGTGAATGATACTTTGATACTATTCACATCTGATTTTGTCTTTTTTTTTTCTATTAATATAAGTTGAATGAGGAGCTGAAACTTTTTAAGGTTGCACATTAAACATTGATGTGTGTCTATAAAAAAAATGAGAATTTTTTAAAACATGTATTTTTTAAAAAAAAAAATATTGATCTCGTAGATCTCACCTAATGTGAGATCTCACACAAGTCTCCCCCACTGTTTCCCGAACATCGGTGTTGCTTGAGGTTGTTGTTGACAAAGGCAAAACCCTCATGGCATTGGGGATGGTGATGATGAAGCATTCTCTCGTGCTTCGTTTCGGGTCCTAGTCGTGTGCTGGTGTAGTGGGTTCTGGTGACGGCGATGGAGATGGGATGCTTCTGGTCGTTTCACAGTGTGCTCCCGTCCTTTTGAGTCATCCCATCATATCTCTTCCCTAATTGTGGTTCCCTCAGATCTAGTGTGCTTGCCTCATATCATTCGTCTATGTCCATCGGTTGGCCTTGGTCAATCGTTGTTGTTGACTTGTTGGCCTTTGAGAGTCTAGATGCCTTTGGCTTGTGGTGGTGTGGTCCTGTGTGGCGGTTTTGTCCCTGGTGTGCGTGCGTGTGCTTCCTACTCCACCATGGTTCATGCTTTCCCGCCCCATGGCCCTCCTCATATTGCCTGAGTGGTGGTTGGTGTTGGAAATATGCCCTAGAGGCAATAATAAAAGGGTTATTATTATATTTCCTTGTTCATGATAATTGTCTATTGTTCATGCTATAACTGTGTTATCCGGAAATCGTAATACATGTGTGAATGTATAGACCACAACATGTCCCTAGTAAGCCTCTAGTTGACTAGCTCGTTGATCAACAGATAGTCATGGTTTCCTGACTATGGACATTGGATGTCATTGATAACGGGATCACATCATTACGAGAATGATGTGATGGACAAGACCCAATTCTAAGCATAGCACAAGATCGTGTAGTTCGTTTCGCTAGAGCTTTTCCAAATGTCAAGTATCATTTCATTAGACCATGAGATTGTGCAACTCCCGGATACCATATGAGTGTTTTGGGTGTGCCAAACATCACAACGTAACTGGGTGACTATAAAGGTGCACTATGGGTATCTCCGAAAGTGTCTGTTGGGTTGGCACGAATCGAGATTGGGATTTGTCACTCCGTATGACGAAGAGGTATCTCTGGGCCCACTCGGTAATGCATCATCATAATGAGCTCAATGTGACCAAGTGTCTGGTCACGGGATCATGCATTACGGTACGAGTAAAGTGACTTGCCAGTAACGAGATTAAACGAGGTATTGAGATACCGAAGATCGAATCTCGGGCAAATAACGTACCGATTGACAAAGGGAATTGTATACAGGATTGATTGAATCCTCGACATCGTGATTCATCCGATGAGATCATCGAGGAGCATGTGGGAGCCAACATGGGTATCCAGATCCCGCTGTTGGTTATTGACCGGAGAGGCGTCTCGGTCATGTCTGCATGTCTCCCGAACCCGTAGGGTCTACACACTTAAGTTTCGGTGACGCTAGGTTTGTTGAGATATTAGTATGCAGTAACCTGAAAGTTGTTCGGAGTCCCGGATGAGATCCCGGACGTCACGAGGAGTTCTGGAATGGTCCGGAGGTGAAGATTTATATATAGGAAGTTCAGTTTCGGCCATCGGAAAAGTTTCGGGGGTCACCGGTATTGTACCGAAACCACGAAAGGGTCCCGAGGGTCCACCGGGTGGGGCCACCTATCCCGGAGAGCCCCATGGGCTGAAGTGGGAGGGGAACCGGCCCCTGGTGGGCTGGTGCACCCCCCCTTGGGCCCCCCCTGCGCCTAGGGTTGGAAACCCTAGGGGTGGGGGGCGCCTCACTTGCCTTGGGGGGTAAGCCACCCCCTTGCCCCCCCCCTTGGAGATTGGATCTCCTAGGGCCGGCACCCTCCTAGGGGCCCTATATATAGTGGGGGGGAGGGAGGGCAGCCGCACCCTAGCCCCTTGGCCACCGCCCCCCTTGGAGATTGGATCTCCTAGGGCCGGCGCCCCCCTAGGGGCCCTATATATAGTGGGGGAGGGAGGGCAGCCGCACCCTAGCCCCTGGCGCCTCCCTCTCCCTCCCGTGACACCTCTCCTTCTCGTTGTGCTTGGTGAAGCCCTGCCGAGAACGCTGCTGCATCCACCACCACGCCGTCGTGCTACTGGATCTCCATCAACCTTTCCTTCCCCCATGCTGGATCAAGAAGGAGGAGACGTCTTCACAATCGTACTTGTGTTGAACGCGGAGGTGCCGTCCATTCGGCGCTAGGATCTCCGGTGATTTGGATCACGACGAGTACGACTCCCTCAACCCCGTTCTCCTGAACGCTTCCGCGGGCGATCTACAAGGGTATGTAGATGCACTCCTCTCTCTTGTTGCTAGATGACTCCATAGATTGATCTTGGTGAAGCGTAGTAAAAATTTATTTTCTGCAACGTTCCCCAACAGTGGCATCATGAGCTAGGTCTATGCGTAGTTACTATGCACGAGTAGAACACAAACTTGTTGTGGGCGTAGATGTTGTCAATTTTCTTGCCACTACTAGTCTTATCTTGCTTCGGCGGCATCGTGGGATGAAGCGGCCCGGACCGACCTTACACGTACGCTTACGTGAGACAGGTTCCACCGACTGACATGCACTAGTTGCATAAGGTGGCTAGCGGGTGTCTGTCTCTCCCACTTTAGTTGGAGCGGGTTCGATGAAAAGGGTCCTTATGAAGGGTAAATAGAAATTGGCATATCATGTTGTGGTTTTACGTAGGTAAGGAACTTTCTTGCTAGAAACCTATAGAAGCCACGTAAAAACGTGCAACAACAATTAGAGGACGTCTAACTTGTTTTTGCAGCATATGCCTTGTGATGTGATATGGCCAAAAGGATGTGATGAATGATATATGTGATGTATGAGATTGATCATGTTCTTGTAATAGGAATCACGACTTGCATGTCGATGAGTATGACAACCGGCAGGAGCCATGGGAGTTGTCTTTATTTTTTTGTATGACCTGCGTGTCATTGAATAACGCCATGTAAATTACTTTACTTTATTGCTAAACGCGTTAGCCATAGAAGTAGAAGTAATCGTTGGCGTGACAACTTCATGAAGACACGATGATGGAGATCATGGTGTCATGCCCGTGATGAAGATGATCATGGCACCCCGAAGATGGAGATCAAAGGAGCAATATGATATTGGCCATATCATGTCATTATTTGATTGCATGTGATGTTTATCATGTTTTACATCTTATTTGCTTAGAACGACAGTAGCTAAAATAAGATGATCCCTCGCAATAATTTCAAGAAAGTGTTCCCCCTAACTGTGCACCGTTGCGAAGGTTCGTTGTTTCGAAGCACCACGTGATGATCGGGTATGATAGATCCTAACATTCGAATACAACGGGTGTAAGCCAGATTTACACGCGCAATACACTTAGGTTGACTTGACGAGCCTAGCATGTACAGACATGGCCTCAGAACACGGAAGACCGAAAGGTTGAGCATGAGTCGTATAGAAGATACGATCAACATGAAGATGTTCACCGATGATGACTAGTCCGTCTCACGTGATGATCGGACACGGCCTAGTTGACTCGGATCATGTTTCACTTAGATGACTAGAGGGATGTCTGTCTGAGTGAGAGTTCATTGAATAATTTGATTAGATGAACTTAATTATCATGAACTTAGCCTAAAATCTTTACAATATGCCTTGTAGATCAAGTGGCCCACGCTAATGTTGCCCTCAACTTCAACGCGTTCCTAGAGAAAACCAAGCTGAAAGATGATGGCAGCAACTATACGGACTGGGTTCGGAACCTGAGGATCATCCTCATAGCTGCAAAGAAAGATTATGTCCTAGAAGCACCGCTAGGTGAAGCACCCATCCCAGAGAACCAAGACGTTATGAACGCTTGGCAGTCTCGTGCTGATGATTACTCCCTCGTTCAGTGCGGCATGCTTTACAGCTTAGAACCGGGGCTCCAAAAGCGTTTTGAGCAACACAGAGCATATGAGATGTTCGAAGAGCTGAAAATGGTTTTCCAAGCTCATGCCCGGGTCGAGAGATATGAAGTCTCCGACAAGTTCTTCAGTTGTAAGATGGAGGAAAATAGTTCTGTCAGTGAGCACATACTCAAAATGTTTGGGTTGCACAACCGCTTGACTCAGCTGGGAGTTAATCTCCCGGATGACGCGGTTATTGACAGAATCCTTGAGTCGCTTCCATCGAGCTACAAGAGCTTTGTGATGAACTTCAATATGCAGGGAATGGAAAAGACCATTCCTGAGGTGTATTCAATGCTGAAATCAGCGGAGGTAGAGATCAAAAAGGAACATCAAGTGTTGATGGTGAATAAAACCACTAAGTTCAAGAAAGGCAAGGATAAGAAGAACTTCAAGAAAGACGGCAAGGGAGTTGCCGCACCCGGTAAG